GATTAAACTTAAACTTCTTTCATGTGTTAAAAGGCACTTTTGGATTCTTATGAAACACTTCTCAAAAGTGTAAGCGTAAGGAAAAACCACAAAATTTGAAAAGAAATGGGCCTGCAAGAGTTGAAAGCAAAGACACGAAGAATCCTTAAAGCATGTGATAGATCAATACTATTAAAAACTTGCTGTGATAGAAACGGGATTCGAACTCACGACCTTCAACTAAATACGCCGCTGCTCTACCACTTAAGCTATCTTGTGTTCGATCCACTCTGACACCAACTTCCCACTTCAACCTACAATCTTTCGAATTTTCCATCCTTTTTGCCATTTTTCAAATGTCGTTTAGTAAGGATTCGATTCTCGGCGCCATGATGGCCAAGGGAAGCTGTTAGTGAAGTTGTACTTTGTTTTACTTACATTATATTTCTTGGTCTGTTGACCAAATTACTTCTATCAATTAATTAATCTTTATGTAAGGTATTCGTTGAGATAAAAAAGCCAGTGTCACGAGCGGGATTCGAACCCACGACCTTCGGCTAAATACGCCTCTGCTCTGTCACTTGAGCTATCGCGACTTCGATCCACTCGGACACCAACTTCCCATCTCAACCCCAACTTTCGAATTTTCCCTCCTTTTTGCCATTTTTCAAATGGCATGTAATCACGATTCGATTCTCGACGACAAATGAAATGGCCAAAAACTTCGTTTTATTTATTAAATCCATTAGATTTCGTGGTCCGATTGACAAAATAGCTTCTTTAAATTAATTAATCTTTATGTAAGGTATTGGTTGAAATGAAAAAGTTAGTTTTTCATTTCAGCCAATACCTTACATAAAGATACTACTATACTGTATACTGTGTACTATTATTACTACTATATATAATATACTATACTATTATACAATATATGTTGTAACTATTAAAATAATGTATGTATAAATAATATATGTATAACTAAGCTACACGAAGGCATTTTAAAAGAGCTATAAACAAACAATTAAACTATTTGGCAAATATCTGAGACTATTGTCTGAAGTCAGTTATAAAAAACATTTCAGAAATATAAATCAACAATTTTTGAATCTTGTAATAATTAAAACAAAATACAATAAAACGATCGCTCATCATGATATAATTAATATTTTTACAACGCAATTTCTCTCTAGTGATTCATCTTAAAATTGTATGAGGCTTCTGTGCAAAAGTACAAAGGGAAAACACCTTTAACGTGTTGAATATTTGAAGACGGTCAGATTTACTTGGTTGATCTCATTCTCTTTTACACAACTTCAAAACACCAATATTTCTTACCATTGAACACCTCTACCGGGTGTGCATAAAAGTGAATAAATATATATTAAATCAGAACTAGAGTTGTTGCTGACTTGCGTAGATTTTCAGCTGGATTTTGTTTTTTTCTCTTTTTAGCAATTGTTTTTTAATAATGTGGATGTGGCTTGGATTGTCTTCTACCTCATTACCTTGGATGTTCAGTCTTTTTGAAACGACAATTTATAATATGAAGAAAAGGCAATCCAAATATTCCGAAGGAGATCCCCAGAGCTATTTTTGTCCCCTATAAGGCGAATGTTAGCAGAGGGGGATCAAAGGATACCAGTCAAGAAATTGAGGTTTAACAACCACCCCTCCTGTAGCGTAGACATCCCTTAATATAGCTAATTCCCTTTGCTACGTAAAGGGTCCCGCTGTTCCTTAACGATCAATTTCTCTTATTAAATTGCCTTAAATATTAATAATAAATCACACCCTAAACCAATTACTCGTTACAATTAACTTCAAGTTTTTTCCCTTGTACTAAAAGTTTAATCTAATCCTCAGTATGTCCAATAAAAAGCGATTCTTTATAAAATTGACTTTAAAGATTTATTATTATTATTATTATATAAGAAATACTGTCTTCATTTGTTAAAAACAATTGTACGGAAATTTCTTTTTTTTTATTTATTTGTTGTTTAAAACTACAAATACTGTAATAAGTAAATACGTTCTACCCTACAAATGTATTAGAAAACTCTAAATCTACTTCCTTCGGAAATATTTATAAAAGGAGAGAGGCTGGGAAAAGCTCACTAGGCTCCAGAAACAATTAAATTGGAAAGGAACTAAACAATTCTGGCAACAAGTCTCAACGGACTATAAAGGAGAGGAAGGACACATGAGAGCATCAGATACAATGATATGGTATACAGATGGCTCCAAAACAATCATAGGCGTTTTTGTACAAGCCCAAAACATGAGCAATCAAACTCATTAGGGAAGAACACTTCGGTCTTTCCAGCAGAAATACTTGCCATCAATGCTTGTGCCCTGGAAAATTTTAAAAGAGGTTACACTGGCAAAAAATCCTCATAAGCTCTGATAGCCAAGCAGCCATTAAAGCATTAGCATATAAAAGAATCACATCAAAATTAGTCAGTGAATGTATCCAAAATCTCCAAAACCTGGGGAAACACAACAACCTGATGATATCTTGGGAGCCAGGGCACAGGGGAATTTTGGGTAACGAGAAAGCAGACAGTCTGGCCAGAGGAGGATCCGCAAGACCATGCATAGATCGCGAATCTATTCTTGGGTTAACAAAAGCAAATATAGATTCTCCAAACAAAACAGGAGAAGTGGACAAACACTAGCGGTGGTAGACATAGTAAACTTATTCACTTGGTAACTTAGTCACCAAGACCGGCAAAATCATTGCTGCAATTGGAGAGGGCCAAACTCAGAGGAGTGGTAGGACTACTAACCGGTCACTGGCATCTAAGCAAACATCTACACAACATGGGCATATACAACGATGATCCCATTTGAGGAGTATGTAACGAGGAGGAGGAAACAGCCACCCATATCATCTTTACATCATCATCTTAAAAACTTAGGGAATCAAATTGCAGCAGCGACAGTGAATGACCTGATACTTCTAAGGAGATGGATTGAGTCTATTGCAATGAACTAAGGAAATAGAAAGGTACAATAAGCCAAAAGGCTGCAGTGTCTGGGGAGCGCAAACCCCGCTTCCTAGTATCCTTTTTACCATACCATACCATACCATACCATACGTTCTGTACATACTGACTGTCGTTTAGGTCACTTGTAGGAGAATTTGTCCAGTGGCAAGATTCTTTCACACTGAAGCCATGTCACTCACTTTCTCTTCAACCGTCTTAAGAGTTGCAAGTGTTGCTAGTAGATTATTGTGGATGCTCAGTGATTAACGAAATTTTGTATAGCGGGTTTTGATAAGTTCATGTGCAAACAGATATGGAGATAGTTTTGAACAGTATGATTTGAAACATAAAAAGAACATTTATAACGCGGACGTGAATCAAATCTAGCGGACAACACAACCATTCTCGCGCATTGTGCATTTATTTTAATTTTTTTTCACTTTCGTTAAAATGTGGATTCCACCTTACAATTGATTGAAGATTTACAAATGCGGCGATTTTGTGGGACGTTTCCTCAGACGAAGACAGGGGAAAGAAAGCAGACACTGTGGCTGAGTTAGCCCAAAAATATGAAGCTAGGCTTGCACATATCTTCACTTACGAGGACACGGAGAGCGATTGCTAGCCGATTGGTAGCAGAAACTAGCTCCCTAAAATCATCTCCTTTTTCGAAATGTGTGGTCCAACCATTTCCAAATGACATTCGAAGTCGACTGGACTCATCCGAACAAAATTTCGGAATCCCATTCCGTCTTCCAATCTCAGCATTTTCCATTTATTTCTTGATCGGGTGGTTGGCCGTCCTTTCCTAACTGGGTACTTAGAGTTGCAAGTGTTGCTAGTAGATTATTGTGGATGCTCAGTGATTAATGAAATTAACCCCCCCCCCCGCCATTTGTAAACGTTTGTTGCCAATAGAGTGGACAATATTCTGAAGACTTCTTCCCTGGACAATTGGTTCTATGTTCGGTGGGAGCATAATGCAGATAATATTTCCTCTCGTGGTACTCACCCCTCTTATTTTTCCTTCAAGAGCTACGTGGTGGGATGGTCCAGCATGTATCGCTTTTTAACCCAACGAATGGCCATTGAACAGCGCTTCAATAAATCCTCTTTTCTCAAAATTTTCTGAAGAATCCATGTCTTCTTAACTTCCCCCCATGAGGATAGCACACCCGAATATTTGTTTGGACTTTTCTCGATCTTTCCACGCGTGCTTAAAGTCTATTCCTTTGCCCGCCACATATTGCTTATAGAGTTGTCTTCGTCCATCACTGCGCATATAGTCATAATTGACTATGGTCTCATCAAAGTTTTATGTTTGAGTTCCATATGTTTTTCATAGAGTTGACGACTTTGTACGTGGTTTTTCTTTCCTAGCCGCAGCTATGTACACTGTATTCTTATCAGTTGCATTAAAATTACTTCCAAGAATTATTCAGAAATCGTGAGATGCGGTCTGGTTTGATGGCGGTGATAGTTTCACAAAAACATTTTCTTTATCGTGCCAACGTTTCGATCTTTATTGAGATCATCTTCAGGGCTCAAAGTGTTTGTCTTCTGTGTAATTGTGCCATTCTTGCGTGCCGTGTCGAGAGTGCCCAAAATTACTTCCAAGAGATTTTCTTGGCCACCAATATCATATTTTCATATCCCTTTTTCGCTTGCAAGTAGTTTTTTTTAAACATTTCAGTAATTATTTATATTTTTTTGTAAATAATATAAATATCTTGTTGATAGAAATATTGAATTAAAATAAAAAACAAAAGCTAGACAAAATATTTTTTTTTAACAAACCTTTAACACTACGTTTAACATGAAACTTTATTAATTCTTGCAAGACAGAAAAAACCATCTCCAGCGTTATGGATGACTTGATTATGTAAGTTGTAGTGTCGATGCATAGATATGCAGATTTTACTATGCAGTTTAGTCAATCTAGCGCATTGATGTTCCCACTTATTTTGTTTATTCTTTACTCCCAAACCAACCTTTTTCAGTTCGTAGTTGTATCGTGGCTCTTTTATGTTCCAGAATGCAATGAGGTGAAGAGGCAGGATGTCGGGCGATCGCTGGAGAACGGAATCTGGCGAGCTTTCGTCAGAACCGAAAGAACAATTAGAAGACAATAAGTGAGTCTAAGCCTAATTCATTTATGATACTAGACATCATAATAAATGTTTTTAAATCTATTTATTAAAACTGGTCTTATTAGACCAAACATAAATTTTACAATAAAATGCATAGAATAAACCCGTTGGTAAAATAAGATTTACACAAAAATCTTATCTGTACTAGTTCATGTGCCTTTGTTCTTTTCAACCTTCTGACAGTGTTTCGATTGTGAAGCATTTTGCAGTTCGCTTTCACATTCTCCTTATTCATTACAAACCAAGGTGCATTTACTGCGTTACGTAAGGTTTTATTTTGGTATATTTCTTCAATTTTGATATTGCCGAGCTCTTATCATCACAATTTCACATCTAAGGTCATTGCCAGATATGTAGCTACATCGCTGTATGGTATAATACCACTTTTTTTTGTAAAATTTATATGTACAGATTTATGCTGATTGAGCCTAATTCTCTTCTTTTTTGTCTATTCATTATCTTGTTACAAGCCTTTTCGAGGATATAGGATGAATTGTTGATGGTCTGTGCTACCGATTTCACCGTTGTGTCATCTGCAAACGTTGCAATTTGTGCTTCATCTATTTTCGGAAAATTACTGGCATTCGCTCCGTTTACGTGCTAAGTTTTTTTTTTTTTTTTGTAACATTTTGAGCTCTTAAATCCTATTTCCTCCCACTCGGCCCATTTTTTCGTTCCCTTTGTTCTACGCCGTTTTTGTCTATTGGTTCCCTTTTGCCTCCGTACGTGAAGAAACATTATTCGTTTTGCTTCTGAATTGCTTCCAACATAGGGACTGGTTTTGCCTCCGAAGAGACCACATAGTTATTTTACCTCCATAAATAAGAGTTTGTTTTGCTTCAGAACTAGTTTATATCTCTTAGCACCTAGTTTTCTTTGCTACCCAATCTCTCTCTCGCCTTTTGCATCCTTTTACTTTCTCGAGTTGCTCGCTAAGCAATATTTGCGATACAGTGAATGCTGAGTTATGATCGCTGCTCAACTAATATCTCATCAAGGGTTCGGACGGAGCCATCTAGGTATGCCAGGTTTGGTTAAATTTACAACTTTTCTTTGGCCAAAGCGTAGGGTGCATTTTATTAGCCAGCCACTCAACTTGGTCAGTTCTCTATTTTTAATTACTATCCTTTTTCTTTTAAACATTTCCTTTAGTTTTTGCGACCGACAGCTCAGAATAACAATTGGTGTATAACAAGGAAAGTAGTGCTACTAATATGGTACCTTGTGGCACTCCTGCATTTATTGTTTTTAATTCTGATTTAATTATGAAAATTGATCTTCTTTTTTTACTCTAAATTGTCTGTCAGTTCGGTAAGACTGATAATATCTACATACTACTTTGCAGCATCTCTTTTAGTTTACTGATGAATCCTTCATACCAGACCTTGTGAAAACGTTGTGAGAAATCAAGAAAGGTAGCAGAATAATTTTGTTTTCCTCGAGTGATTTTTCTATTACATTCGTAACTCGGTGAATTTTTTTTACACTTTTTTCAACAATTGTTTTTTTAAACAATCCAAATTGGTAGTCGGGGAGGATTTTCTTTTTTCCAACTATTTAGTAATAACCTTTCGAAAAGCTTAGAGTGTCGGTAGTAGCAATATTTGTCTATATGATCTGTCCTTTTTTTACAATCCAAATTGGTAGTCAGGGATGGTTTTCTTTTTTATCGACAATGGATTTTAATCTTTTTAGTAATAAGTTTTCGAAAAGCTTAGAGAGTGACGGTAGTAGCGATATTTATCTAAATGATTTGATCTTTTTTCCTTTTTTTTACAATCCAAATTGGTAGTCAGGGATGATTTTCTTTTTTTCAACAATGGGTTTTAATCTTTTTAGTAATAACCTTTCGAAAAGCTTAGAGAGTGTTGGTAGTAGCGATATTTGTCCAAATGATTTGACCTTTTTGTCTTTTTTTTTACAATCCAAACTGGTAGTCAGGGATGATTTTCTTTTTTTCAACAATGGGTTTTAATCTTTTTAGTAATAACCGTTCGAAAAGCTTAGAGAGTGACGGTAGTAGCGATATTTATCTAAATGATTTGATCTTTTTTTCCTTTTTTTACAATCCAAATTGGTAGTCAGGGATGATTTTCTTTTTTTCAACAATGGGTTTTAATCTTTTTAGTAATAACCTTTCGAAAAGCTTAGAGAGTGTCGGTAGTAGCGATATTTGTCTAAATGATTTGACCTTTTTTTTCCTTTTTTACAATCCAAATTGGTATTCAGGGATGATTTTCTTTTTTCAAGAATGGGTTTTAATCTTTTTAGTAATAACCTTTCGAAAAGCTTAGAGAGTGTTGGTAGTAGCGATATTTGTCTAAATGACTTGACCTCTTCTGCCGGTTTCATCGATTTTTTTATCATATGGCATCTGCGAATCCCAGATGCTGGGAAGATATTTCAGTCTGATTGCAGCATTAAATTAACTAACCCCTTTTTCGGCAAATTTTTTAAAATTTCTCCTGTGAATATCGGCAATAAAACTATTTTCTTCTGTTAGACCATCCTTTCATTGCGTCTTTTGCTAAGGGTTTCTGCTTTATCTTTGTTTTCTTTATGTTGTAGTAAAAGAGTGAAATTTTAGGGTAATTTAAACTAATTTCATGAAAACAAAACTCAATTCTGACATTTTGTTCGATTCTCTGTTTTTCCTTTCATGAAACAATCTATAATCAAAGAAAATTGCAGAAGTTAAAGATGGAGAAAGTGCTGCAGTTTCTACGGAAATTCGAAACCCAGAGGAAATGAGTGAGGCCAGCGCGCTTCTATTAGGCTAGAAGGTGAACCGACTAATGCGGTTTATTCTGCAGCAGCTTCATCTCAAGGCCCATTCCCCGAGGAACATCTGAAAATTAACACACGTGCGTCGAAATCAAGTTTGCACACGATTCGCCCCAGAGGCTTAGGTTGATGGCGGGGGAGGGGGGTACTAACAAAGTTGTCCAACAACCACTCAAAACAAGATTTTCTAAGTTCATCCCTTTGTTTAGGCTATCGCTATTGTTCCAAGTACGAGCAAGAAATTGTTTCTCGAAGAAATAGCAGCTGAACCTACTTTATTTTATACATATACGGCCTTTTATCCAAAATACTTCAATATTTTGTTTATTTATCAAAATATATCAATATATATATTATCGTTTTTGTGTGAAGTGGAAGATTTGAGATTATTAGGTAAACAGTTTTTGTCAGTAGAAATGAATATCTTATCAAAAACGTTATTTCTATACGTTTTTAAATCTAATACGAAACAACATGATAAGTATTCATATTTCTGCCCCATTGTTTCTAACTTATTAAATTCACTACTTTTCGTGGTCCGTTATTAAGGTTTTTAGTTGGGTTAAAGTCACGATAGCTCAAGTGGTAGAGTAGCGGCGTATCTAGCCGAAGGTCGTGGGTTCGAATCCCGCTTGTGACACTGACTTTTTTATCTCAACCAATACCTTAAATACAGATTAATTAATTTAACTATTCATCCCATCTATCCAGAAAAGGTTTTTAGTTGAGATAAAAAAGTCAGCGTCACGAGCGGGATTCGAACCCACGACCTTCGGCTAGATACGCAGCTACTCTACCACCTGAGCTATGGCGACTTCGATCCTCGCGGACACTAACTTCCCATTTCAATCCTACCTTTTGAATTTTCCCTCCTTTTGCCATTTTTCATCCCGCTCGTGACGCTGACTTTTTTATTTCATCTAAAACCTTCATTAATTGAAAGATATTAATTGGCCAAGCGGACCACGAAAACTAGTGAATTTAATAAGTTAAAATGAAGTATATTTTCACTAAAGCTCTCCATGGCCATTTCATTTGTCGCCGAGAACCAAATAGATTACACGACGTTTGAAAAATGGCAAAAAGGAGGGAAAATTCAAAAGGTGGGGTTGAGATGGGAAGTTAGTGCCCGAGTGGATCGAAGTCACGATAGCTCAAGTGGTAAAGCAGCGGCGTATTTAGCCGAAGGTCTTGGGTTCGAATCCCGAATCTCAACTAAAAACCTTAATTAATTGTTTCTAACGATACAAAACTTTTGATTTTCGTCGAACACACAAAACTGTTTTGATTTTTACTGCAATTTGTGTCAATCAAAATTACACCTATCACACCGAATGAGTGTAATCCAGCATGCATTAAGCAGTAGTTTATTTCAACAAAAATTGTATAAGGATCCGTGTTATTGGCTGATGTACAACTTGTGCTGTAGGCCATCGTTCATTTGGGAGCGTTTTGAACCTTCTCTATTGTAATTTTAATCGATTACTAAATCACTGGGATTTAATTAACAGACATATTGTTCTCTTAATTCGGTGGAGTTAAAACAAATGAGGTCAATCACTAGTCACTACTGTAACGCCATTCAATCGAGCAACTCAGCTCGGGCTTCTCCAGCTTTTCTAATAACAAAAAACCTGGCAATGCTAGATAGTAGACTGTTAGTAATCAATTACAAAACTAAATAAATAACATTCAATTCGACGCGTGGCCCTTGCTAAACATCACTGATATTTTCAACCTACACGGCAGGAGATATTTACTGTGCTCGATTTACTCAATGGTTTTTTACAGACTGGGTGCTGACTGTAAGTACACTGCGCGCAAATTACCTTATGGGACTAAATTTAAAATCTAACCGATGGGACTAAGTCTAGATTCACAGACACTTACGAAACATGTAGACAAAATTTTTCGTGAAATGAAATATCAATTTACATGAAATTATTTACGCGGTATAATGATATTTTCTATGATTGTGTCAATTGATTCTATGAGGTGTCATTCGTGTGTGTCGTGTTGAGAGTGCCACGTCACTCAAGAATGACCCATCTACACGGAAAACAAACACTTTGAGCCCTGAAGATGATCTCAATAAAGATCGAAACGTTGGCACGATAAAGAATATGTTTTTCTAAAACCTACGTCACATCAGACGGCATCTCACGATCTCCGAATAATCATTGACTAACGGTCACTAA